TAGAGGAGACAGGGTTTGATGTCTCGAAGATGCTTAAGAAGGAAGAATACATCGAGTTTACATTCGAAGGAAAGAAAAGAGTGAGGCTTTACATTGTGGTTGGGGTGAGAGATGATACAGCTTTTGCACCGCAAACGAAGAAGGAGATCAGTCAAATCGCATGGCATCGGCTTGATGGGCTTGAACGTGGATTCGCTGGCCTCAAGTTGTTTATGGTTACGCCTTTTCTCGCATCCTTGAAGTCGTGGATATCGAAGCATCTGACTCCTGTATCGCTGAGCATTAACAAGCCCCTTAAACCACCACTCTGCGTGTGGAGTGCAGTAACAACGACAATAACAACAACAACGGAAAGAAGATACAATGTAAAAGCTTGGAAACCGTCTCTAATTAAGGTCAACAAGTCAGCGATTTTGCCGGCCTTGGGAATTTGTACTTGAGTAGAGTCAGTCATATAAGGTCAAATATTGGGAGCTATGGTGGGTTTGTGTAGAGCAAAACAGTTGGATGTGTTGCTTCGCTTGTACTTTTCTATTTCTTTGCTATTTAGTTTGTTGTACATGGCATTGTACGATCAGTAATTCAGTATCCAGTAGTAAATGAAAGCAAGCTGTATACTTTATTTCTTATTAATTTCAGAGCAAGTAACATAGTTATACTTATACATAGAAATAATTTGGTTATGAACAATCAAAGACCTTTTGATGTTAAAAGACACTCTCCTTGGAATACAACCCATCTGTATCCCCAGCATCCCCCATATTATCAACATTCAATGTATAGAACTCAGATTTGGCAAATTTGAAGCAAGTAATGTCAACCACACCTCATTCATATCAATCCATAGCGCATTATTTTCCGAAGGTAGGAAGAAAGAACATATTATAGCTTTATATGTTTTCTTCTCCAGCGAAGAATCTCAACCCACTATTATTCCTTACGGAGCAATAACAAATGGAACTGACCTTAAGACGAATTAGTAGCAGTTTCAGTGATATCTCCAGCTTCAGTTCAAAGAGAAACGAACACAAGTCTATATACAAATTTGTTGTTACTACCTTTGGTGTCAAGATTTGCTCCCATTCTAACTTTGTCTGCAAACAATCTGAATTACAAAGGCAACTTGAGGCAATGCTAGTTTTAGAGTTAAATTAAATGCTAAATTGGTAATGAGTTGCGTTGCTGAATTGGAAACAACTGAGCTAATAGGCCATTTTATTTGTCAATCTGAATCAGAAACTTTAAGTATTTAAAAATTATGGCCTATACAGGGATCGAACCTGTGACCTTCGCGTTATTAGCACGACGCTCTAACCAACTGAGCTAATAGGCCATTTTGTTTGTCAAAGTTGAACAAAGCTTTTATTTAACTAGCCAAAAGAAGTGGTTCTTCGTTATTAGGCCTGTTATAAATACACTAGGCAGTTTATTTTGAAAATGAACCATTACAATAAACACGCACATCTAAGAGCATGATTAATGCAAGTTCTTAGGCTTGGATTTTAGAAAAATAAAATTAAAATACTAGTGAGTCTCACACAATTTGTAAGAGGTGCTTCTTTCCCTTCTTCGGCAAGGACCGAATTTTTGGGTGTTTTTGGACTGTTCACGTGTCACACCGACATGTGGCGGCGTGCGATTGATTGACTTTTAACTTCTTTTTTTTTTTTTATACAAACTTTTCTTTTTAAATTACCAAAAAATAATAAGAAGCAATTCTAACTTTCAACGCGTTAATGGTGCTCTAACACAATAAATATACAGCTGTCAACATAAACTTCTCTTGATCGATGATCCTTTGTTAGAAATTTGTATTTCGAGATAAAGGTAACAAAGCTCTAAAACCCTCCGAAATGGCAACTTGATTTCTCTTAAGTTTCTTTTATATTTTATAAGAACGTTCGTAATTTTTGTATTGAGGATATTGTTTTCTTTTCGGGTTTCTCACAAGCCGCTTTTTGAACGTAGGCGAATATCTCCTCTAGACTCAACGTCTCAGGCTTAGTAACAATCTCTGCGTCAATTTTATTGGAAATATCAGCATTAGAGTTTAACCTGAGGAAAATGTTGAAACCATCAATAGGTTAACGTCGAGTTACATGAAATGTCAGAATACAGACAAAAAAATATATCTTAATAAAAAGATGCATACCATCCTAGGTAGTCCCTGGTAAGCCCGACATCCGAGTCCATAAAAACTCGAGATGATGCTATAGAAGTGAGACAAAGTGTTCTTGATCATGACATGTGAATTGATTAGCACCAAAAAAATTCTGTAAACGGCACTAAAGAATCCAACAATATAACCCTATTGTTAAAAATGGAAATCACACAGACGTCTACTAATAATAAAATGATTCCAATAAGTTGAGCTTGTATTGGGAAGCAATATAATTGAAACATCCTAGTGTGATATACTAATTTCTCATTTCATCTAAGCAATCCAACCACTTAAAAATGGATGTTTTAAACCAATGCAACTTAGGTCTACATATGAACACAAATAGTTGTCTCAATGTCTACGCGTTTAGTGTGGTTCAAATGCCAATATTTTTAAATCTCTGTAATACTAACCTCCAAGACGTTTAGGGTTTAGATTAGTGACCAAAAGGACGTTTGGTTTGCTTATGGAGGTTTTGAATTTGTGGCAGAAATCGGATGCAGCCTTGTCCCATAGATAGAGCTTCACCACTGGACCGCTGCACAAGATAAAACACATTGGTTAAGGATGACACACATCGGAAAAAACGTGTTAGAAATGGCCAACTTACTCATGTGTCTGAACATGAAAACATAGGTGCCGCTTCGCTCCAATGTCAGCTTCTTCCAGGACAGTATGCTCAGTGATAGTCTGCTCATTCACAAGCTTCATGGGGCCAACATAGTCTGACATATAGAAATCAAAACAACAGATATGAAAAGTATTATCTGACAACATGTAAAACGACTATGTAACATGTTTATCGGCTGTTTACAAATTACAAAAACTCTCCTTAGGTAAACACTTAAGTGCAGACAACTTAAATAATTCAACAGAACTTACCATAAAGGTCACCCTTGGCGTCATAGTTTGCCTCAAACTCCTCGACACTATGTAACCTGAACTTATCCTCCTCAATTGGAACATGATGGTACTCGAGAACCGATAATTCAGAATTCCAAGAGAATGTCACTGTGGCTTGATGATCAGCAACCCGATACATATCTTTGTTCCTGGATCCAATTTTTTTTGTCAGATTGTAAATAGAACCCGCGACCAGATCATATGTCCCGATCCGTCCTGCTGGTACAAAACCTTGGATCACAGTCCCCTGTAATTCATTAGAAATGAGAGATTAGTGATAATATCCAACTAATCGAGCAATACTTTAAAAAAAAAAGAAAAAAAGAGTCCTACACGTACCTTTTCGTCAATAAGGAGCATCTCCTGCCCAATTAGGTTTTTCGTTTTCGGATTTATAGCCTCCCAGAAGTGAATCAGGCGAAACCTCAAAGAGGCTTCATGTGGGCCGAGAGAAACATCTCTGTAGAACATCACTTGATCGGCAATCGGGGTGTGGAGAGCGGAAGCAGCTTTTGGTGTCATCGGAGTGGGAGACGAAACTGCAGCCTTGCCGTGAGGCTTGAAGACAATCGCGGAGGAAGCAAAAGACTTCCTGTCTCGTTGAGCTTTCGCGGAGGATGCGACAATCTTCTTCTTGGTCTTGTCACCGGTAGGGAATGAAGATTTTCAACTGGGTTCCTTCGAGATGAATGTGAGAGACTGTAGAGAATCTTATCAGTTTAATCGACACATAAGCTGAGAAGAGAGATCTATAAATAAAACAATGTCGAGGAAGGTGAAAGGAGGAATCCATTGAATGAGAAGAAGCAAAGGATTGATTGCAATGACGCAAAGGATTGATTAGAACAGAGAGTGGCTTAATTAATCGACAAAAGGGAAGAGAGGAAATCAAAACAAAGGAAGTCGAAAGGTATGAGCAGATCTTCTAGTTTCTATATTTCTCCATAAGTTAACCAATTATCAAATCAGAAGAAACCAAATACCAAATTAGAAATTCGAACCAAAAACCAAACTTGGTTTTCTATGTGAAAACCGAATCCAACGTGGATGGTTGGAGCTCTATTATTTGTTAAATATAAATGTAGACGTGGACATTGTAAGGAGGCTTTATTAAGTCATTTTAATAGTGTGTGATATTAGCTTTTGACCCGCGCGGATGTATCTTCTGTATAAATATATGTTTGTATTAGTTATTAAAAACATTCATATTTATGTTTCATAGGTTATTGAGTTATGATGTCGGTGTATCTTGTTCATTTTGTTTAGTGTCTCTTTTTAAACTATCAAGCTGTATTTTTGATATTGTATTTTTTTACTTGGTAAACTAAACAATTAAGTGTAAAATTTTAGAGTATCTTTTTTAGATTGTGTGTGTTTTATTAAATTATACTATAAATTTTGTGATTGAAATTATTATTTAAAATCAGATTTCTTTAAAATAAATTATTTAGATATCAACAATTAAAAAAATTCACAAAAAATAAGAGCTCTAGCAATTTTATTTACGATGATTATGGTCTATATAATCGAGATAAATTTTATGTTCGGTTATGGTTTTGATATAATACTTTTTTTTACTTGGTAAACTAAAAAATTAAGTGTAAAATATTAGAGTATATTGTTTAGATTGTGTTTGTTTTATTAAATTATACTATAAATTTTGTGATTAAAATTATTATTTAAAATCAGATTTTATAGATATTTTTAAATAAGTTATTTAGAGAACAATAATTAAAAATATTCATAAAGTAAGAGCTCTAGTAATTTTATTAACAGGTGTCATTTTTAAAATTGAATTGGGCAATTGGTTTTGATTTAAAATTAGTGGATCTTAAATCTATATTGAAGCCTACATAATAGTAAAACTACAGAGTTTTATTGCAATGACATTCTATTGTAATTTTTGAAAAAAACTAAAGTTTTTTTTGTGTGTACTTCCTCTTTAATAGTTTAGATTATTCTCCTTACTAAAAGCAATGGTATTTCTGTCATAAAAAAAACATATGTCAAACTAAAGTGTGTCAAAATTACATTATGTTTTATAGAGTAAAGTAAATTCAGAAAGTGTCTTTTAAGTAAGAGCTTTTTTATTGCTAAACCTCACTTAAGAGTTTCTTTAAAAAACTTCAATCGCGGGTCGCCACGTGTTAGTTGGGTCTGCGAACAGTGTCAAAAACTCATCGCAAGCGATCTTGAAGTCACGCTTTTAGGGACTAGTTTTTGTGTTTAATGGGACCCACAACATTTCTTTTCTAAAAGAAACTCGTTTTGGAAACCCCCAATAATGATGGTCTAAGGGCATGCCCATTAGTAAACCGGGAAGGAATTCGTCACGTGTTCACTATTTTGATTTTTTTTTTTTTTTTCGTTTGCCTATTAAAAAATAATAATAATAACTGAGTCAGTCGCAGGCTGCCACGTGGCGTGGAACTCGCGAAATAGTGATGAACCAGATTCATCCCAGCAAAACTGCAAGAAATGGATTCACCGAAATCATTTTATTTTATTATTTTTTTAGAAAAACGTATAAATGTCTCCCATGAATTTTTAATGTAGACTAGATCCTTTCCCGGGCTACGCCCGGGTTAATTATTTATAAATTATTTACTAATATAGTTTAGAAATAATATTACATAAATTTTTATTATTTTTTTCATTTAAAAATAATTTTGTGCTCATAACATATAAATGGATTTCAAATTTATTATTTAATTTTTAGGAACATATACTTTAAATGAGTGCAAATGAATTTGCGCTCGTGCCAATGCCTTTCGTTCGTATGTCATTACTACCTACTTTTACAATGAGAACAAATATCTAGACTAATAGATATATCCTTGAGCTGGTAAAGGTGTTTGACCATAAAAAATGATACCCTCGTCCGTTCATGGGATTAATGGTCAACGTTACACTGCAAAGCGAGCTTTGTTTATTTCCTTTTGTCGGGTCAAACAAATGTGCAGTGTAGTTACTCTAACGAACATTTTGTACTGAATGAGTTCCTGAGTTATAGCTCTGTAGTTGAAGACGGTGTTGTATAAAAGGAGAGGTAGTAGGGGGAGGAACACCAGTTACCAAGAGGTTCTTAACCACCTCCGATTTCAGTTTGCAGGAGGAGGAACACCAGTTACTGGTTTCGACACTATGATGTATGTTTAAGGAAAATAAGGACAAATCAAAATAAGTCAACTGTTTCCAACGACTAAGACCCAAGTTTAAAAAAAATTAAGAGTGAATGGAAATCCTAGAGGAAAAAAATAAGCTAGGTAGATACTGTAAGTTCAATGGTGATGAAGCGTCGATGGAGATGAGAGGGCCAGTATGAGATGTTTTAGTTACTGCATTTGCACGCTTCTTCTCCACTCCCACTATTAGGAGCACTTGCCACACAAGAAGGACAACCAGAGCAGGTTGAACCTAAGGCAGATTAACATGCTACACTTGCCCCCATGAAACTGGTCACCATCATCACCTGCATTTCTGGTATCTCAACGGCTTGTGGTGGAGGGGGAAGAAGAGAAAGGGAGAGAATCTTGGTGACAGTTATGGTCTGCCTCATTGCTGTAAATTACCAGTCCTTCACCTTCACTCTGAACTTGTGGGTTTTCCCTACTATATCAAGCATACATTGTGGTGTTGGCATCTCATAATGATCACCTATGTCTCCATTTGCCTGACATTGACATCATCTTTAAACCGAGTCCAAACAACAGGAAAAAGAACATTAAGAAAAGTAAAGATAACGTCGAAATAGTTGTCAGGTAACGCTAACACCTGCCTTCCCATGAGCTCAGGACCAGTAGCACAAAGTATTACAAAAAGTGGCCTTCTTGCCTTTGTTGTAAACCAAAATTTTAGAACGATACCTGTATTGAAGACCAGACGACTTAGAATGAAAGGATACGGGATGAAGAAATCTGATGATTAGGAAAGCTAACCTTGAACATGCCTATCTTACCTTGAGGTCTCACCCTAAACATGCCAAACATTGCCTCACTTAGAAGTCATATGAAATCGAAAACGCATATCTTACCTCGGTGATACATGTTGCTTTCCACAAAAATCTACAGCATACCCATAAGTATTCTGTTAATGTAGAAAGAGAGTGACCTTATGAGCATCAGAATTGGTGTACGGATGAGCAGTTGCGTTAGACAACACAAGCCCTGTGACCTGAGAAAATTGTATAGATGTCATCGGTTACTTCTGCTCCAATCTCTGCCACAAAGACACAAACATAGCTGTTAAGAGAAAAGAATATTTGATTGTTCTTTAAATGTAAGACATGAAAATGCAAAAAAATCTAGACTTGGTAACTACCCGCAAAGTAGTATAGGCCATGGACTGAGATAGTCTTCTTTAGGATACGATTAAAACATACTGAAGAATCTTATAAACCTGTCTAAACCAAAATAAAAAAATCTTGTTCAACAGATGGAAATCATCAAACAATGGTGGAGGAGGATTGGTACAACAAAGATTTAAGACTGAAATATTATAGCTGCTACAATCTTACTATAGACAGTGTAGAATCATGAGGAAAGATCAAATGAGTGTCGACGATCAAAACTTATGGATGATCATCTCATATTGAGAGTAAGGAGGATCTGATTCAACATGTAGCAACTGCAGGACTCGGTCACTACAACTGCAAGACTCGGTCACTACAACTGCAGGACTCGATCCATTTACTCAGTTCAAGGATTCAATGTTACAAGTGTCTCTCTCAAGTTACAGGAAACCCATTTATAAACTCTCTACGTCAACCCACGTGATGAATTTAAAAAAAAAACTCAACAAACCATATATTTACCCTCGGAAGCCATTAAGTTTTTTTTTTTCGCATGTGATAGTAATGTAAGGGACAAATGAATGGTTGGTAATGAAAACACTCTCTGGTCTGCTGACACAAATACTGAAATACTTTTTTGGCTCCTAAAGAAAGAACATATGAACTCTACGCTAAGCTTATCAAAGCAGAGATAAAATCCTCTTCGGCATTCACAATACAATTCAGATGGAAACCTCTTTTATGATTTAGATGGTCTCATCACTGGGAAAGAGGGTAGTCTCAGGACAGCTTCTTCTGTCTCCATTGGGTCTGATCTCAGAATCTAAGCAAGGAAAAAACAAAAAGAAGACGAATTGTTATGAAATAATCATTTAAAATAACGTGTACTCAGAAACCTAGTGGATCCATTTGAACTCAAGAGAATCAGTGTATTCTTTTCTTAGAGGAATGGTACAGAACAAACAAAATTTAGATGTAAACAAAAAGTCACAGAAACAGTAGGCATAGCTGCTGTTTTTGTGGAAAGAATGAATAAACGGTCTCCATCCTCTCTTCGTAACAAAGAGTGTGTTCAAATGAAAGGTGCTAATGGCTTCTATTTGTGAAATGTGCTTTACCATTTTTGGGCTTTACACACTTTAAATCTGAAGCTCTCTAGTTCCATGGACTTTCTAGGCGAACAAATGCTCTTTATCTTTACATTCTTCAATGAATCAATTAACTTTCACATTCAAAACATTACAACATAATACACATTCGCGGATTTACAATTCATTCAAATACTATCACACATTCAACACTCATTTCTGAGTTCAGCAACTACATTTTCAGTTCAATTTCGAATTCCAATTCCAAAATAATAGAGAGAAAGAGATCCCTTATTACCGGGTCCTGAAGAACAGGTTTGGTATCATCCACTGCAAGTCTGAACGGAGGTTTCTTCTCTGATTTCTCTTCTGATTTAACAAAACTCGAGGTGCTCGTCAGAGTCTCTGAAGCTTTCCTCATCGCTCTCTCTTTTATTTTTTCTTGCCGGCGATCGAATTTTCGGAACAAACTATTATGGTTTATAGATTTAGGGGACGATGATAGACCTTATTGGGTTAGAGGTAGACCATACACAGAAACCGAGACTGTGAAGACGAAGTGGAAGAGCCAGTGTTACTTTGAAGTAATTCTCGTCAAAGATATGTATCAATTTTTATTTGTGTCAATTTTTATATAAGGAGAAAGAGAATGAAGGAGAAAGAGAAGGAGGCAAAACGAAACAATAAAGAAGAGAGGAGAAAAGGGTAACGGAATTACAGAGCAATTAGGTGTAGGCGAAGTGGAGAAGTCGGTAGATGAACTCTCTACGCTTCAGATGGAATTAGGTGAGTCTGGGCTTGAATTGGGCCAGTTTCAATTTCACTCGAGATAAGCGATATATGACCTGGCAAAAAAGACACTTTTCTATTCGCTGATTATTTTGGCTTACGTGGACAGCCTCTCCTTGATTTATTTAGACCTTTTAATATAGTTAGATGCTCTAAGTCTCTCTAATTTAACTCACTCTAAATCACTTTATTTTAACCATTTCAGTTTTATTGTAACTGCTAACTACAACTACATCAATTAATATAAGTATATTTTTGACAGTCTTTTCTTCTCGTATGACCAAAACTCAACAAACTTAGCGAAAATAAAGTGAGCTCATGCAGCCTTCTTCTACGTCTTCCTCTTTTTAAATTTTCTATATTTTTTATAAATAAAATTTGATTCTGCAGCCTTTTTTTCCAGAAAATTATCTCTAATCACTATCTTTTTTTTGGAGATATTTAAAGCTCTAAATCTGATGATGGTAACGTACACAACCACCTTAACGGCAGAGACATCCGGAAACAATAATCAAAACTCTAGTATTTAGACCACCGGAAACATCGCCTTGTCACTCGCATCTTTCCCACGCTGTGACTTCACGAGAAGCCTGAGAGCAGCGTCTGGCTATGTAACGAGAAGCTCTAGAGACCAGAGCATCAATGGTCAATTTTGTCTTTTGGCATGTTTGTTCCTTTATGATTTATATACCTTCGTTTTGACCCCAATATTTTTAAAACGAGCAGATATTTCCTCAAATTAATCCATAACGTTTTAATTATTCATTCTAACACTTCTCCACAATTTCATATGGTCCATCATCTTTTGATTGCTTTCAATTTTTTCACCTAAACTTCCAAAATAAAAAAATTTTCTTCGACCTTTGTACCAAACTTAAATATTGTACACGCCAACCCTTTTGAATGCAATTGCACATGTTTCCATGTAAAAAATTGTTCTTTTGTGTATATTGATTGTGTACACCATGCGATATGTACATATGTACATCGTAGGTGAATGAAAAACATAATGATTCTATAATGATTGTATAATGATAGGTTTGTAGTGAAATTGAGTACATATAAGTGCGTTGTCCTGTCCATTCTGCTACCATACCTATACGCACATAATCAAAGCCATATGCACAAACACAGATTCGACGACAACAAAATCTTCACAAAAATTGATAGAAATCACATAAAAACGGCATTGCTGGAAACGATCGATCAGCCGTCGAATTTGAAACAAAAGTTCTTTCTATTTTGTTTTGTTTTTCTTCTCGCCGTCAGATTGGTGTAGTGAATCTAGGGCTCGATCTGGCACATGCGAGGAAATCTTGGATTTTCTCAAATATCCTTTTTCTTAAAAGGAAATAAGGCTCGTAAAAGGGAAAAATATGATTTTCTAAACAATATCAGATACTAACGGTCAAACGAGTTATAAATATACATCCAAAGAGCACTCGTTATTGCACACAACAACAACAAAAATAGATCCCACAAGTGATTATAGAGAGTTACACAAGAAAAATAATATGTGGAGCCTCCCGTCGAAGAAACTTCTTGACGATCTTTACACTCGATTTGTTGTGAACGGCCCCGAGGAAGATAAAAAGTCTTTCAATCGACTCATGTTTCTTGTAGAGAGTGCTCACTGGTATTACGAAGATACCGTTGTCGAAAACGACAAAACCCTAAAGTCGCTGTCCTTTAGAGAGTTTACTTGCCTCCTATTCAAC